CACTACCAACCACGCCCTGCTACTAACACATCAACAAATCATGTAAACATTCCTTATTGGAGGGTATAAAGTCCCAATCCATGAAAAAGGCCAATAAACTGGCAAACATGTGTACACATGGTGCACTCATGCATGCAGGGCAGGTCATGTTTTGTACGTTTCTGATAGTTCCCGGTTATAAGTCGAATCCCGGTTGTAAGTCGACCCCCACCCTTTCTCCTTCTATTTTTAGTCGTAGAAGGTCGACTTACAACCGGAAAAATACGGTATATGCATATCAGATGGATTGTATTTACGTGAAGGTGCATGCTGTGGTACACGGGAAGCATGTTATTAGTGGTAAGCCAGAAACAGGTTTAAAATAACTAACAGTACAGTGACACAGTGCAATGAATCACGACTGTGTCGAAAGTTCGTACAACGCACTGATTATTTTGTTCAAAAAACGCTTGAAAACAATTTGCACTGTACGTACAATATGACCTCGACTATTGAAAAAAAAGAAGAAAAAAAGGCAGCCAGCGCACGCGCGTGGACCGAAAGTTCGTACTACATGTACATGACCACACTGACTTTGTTCAAATCACACTTGAAAATAGTTCGTCTTCGCGAAAGTTCGCTGTACAGAAGTTCGTCGTAAACGAATAATTTTGACTTGAATTGATGCCTGGCCAACCATAGGATTGGCCTTAGTTCGTACTAATGGAAAGTTCGCCTTATCAGTGTTCGTCCTAACGAGGTTTGACTGTACCTGTATTTACGAGACTACAGTCGTGGCCAAAGAAATCCAACCCACATGCCGAAAGCAGCGCCAAGGCTGATGCGGCCCCTGTGGCCCCCGGATCAGTTTTGGGAACATGCATGATGTAATGGAAAGGGAAACGCTGTGCCGCTTTTGACTCGCGGGTCGGAAATTCTTTGGCCACGACTGTTGCAAGTACTGTACATCAGCATCGTCATTTCTCTGTCTGGAGCGAATATCGCTACAACGGTTAGCTCTTAGTCTTACCTTGAACGTAGCTGACTGACCATGTCACCTAGCGCTGTGATGAAGTGACTCACTGGGGGCTGATTTCCAACAGTAGTGTTGGCTTCCCCCATTCAGCATGTGTGACAGTGGGGGTCACCCAGTCGCCTACTTCAGGCTCAGCATCCGAACAAACATCTCAGCCAGGTGCTCCGTTGTATGTACGTGTTGGACAACGAAGGACAGCATACGTAGTGGAAACAGATTCCCACAGCACAAGCTATGCACCGCGGCAGCCCGTGGATCTGCACCTGCACACGGAGCGTTGCGAAAAATGAGAGTTACGGAACTGCTTCCACCCACACCGTAGATCATCTACTAGTTGATACGCTTGCTTCGCATCCTGCCTAGCGCCTCCGTCTAAGCACACTCGCTTGACGGACAGATAGTGTAGATCTACCCGGTATTTTTGCTCGCCGGCGGCGTGCTTCTGTACCTTACGAAGTGGTCTTTCCGGTTTTGCTCCGCTGCGAGTTCTTGGAAACGGACTTTCGCTGACTTGGACACCAACCATCAAGGGTTCCGCCTGAGACTGTTTACCATGGTTTACCGGTAGCACGCTATGCCCAGACCCTCTTGGCGCTGGCAGTGCCAGCGCAAGCAGTGCCAGCGCAAGCAGTTTCGTGGCTTGGAATAATTCGCGGATAGCACCGCAAACCCATAGACCATACTCAGCGAGCCGTTCTCATGGGGCTGTGATATCGTCTACACAAGGAACAGACGTACTTCTCTTTCTTTCACGAACAGGACTCCCACAGAACTAACTACTGCCGACCTACTACAAAACACAATCGCACATCGTCATTCCGTTCCGTTCAGTTCCGGGAGAACACGCGGAACAAGGCGCAGAACGCCGGAGAGACGTTTCAGTGCGACGAACTCTGAAGCGTGAAAGCTGAAGGCATGCAGTGAAGCATGAAAGACTTACTGTAGTGGATCTACACTCAATGTGACTCATGTCATGTAGACGTACATGTTGACAGGTTCGTCGGATGAGTGTTTTTGAACACGAAACTCGGAGGAAGGAGAAAGCTTTTTGGTCTCTGTCGTTCTGCCTTGTGTAATTATTATGTCGATGTACAGTCATGCATCAGTTCGGATGCCTTGACAGGCAGGCTCATGTAGATCTACGCTCCTCGTGATAATTATAATGTGGACCTTGCACAGTCAACATGGTCCTGTGGTACAATGTAGAGAGATTATTCTGCAGGTCTACCCTCAACCCCGGGGGGGGGGGGGCGGGGGTATCAAAATGTCTGTCTTGTTACTACCAACAGTATACCCCCTGGGGGGGGGGGGGGGTTATAATACCCTTGTTACTACTAAATATCACCCAGAAAAACTCGGATGCAGAGCTAATAGTAATACAATCATGTATCATGTAAAGAGAAAAGGACTTGTAGGTTACTACAAGAGTACTATGTACTCTTGGTTACTAGTTGTAAAATTAATAATTATGACTAACTGTTCAGTGAAAGTAAGAGTGCTTTGTTGTCGCACTATCTGACTGTATATTTCGTTGCCTTGGTGGACTGTTAGTCATAGCTACTAACTTACGTATAGGTCCTTTTCTCTTTAAAGTCATATTATTACTACTTAAGAATAGAAGAGAATGCCCGACAACTAGTTCATGAATTTCGGAGTCCTTATATTACTACTATTGATGATGGTGATGGTGAAGAGTAGCTTGTGATGTGTAGTTTTTTTCTTTTCATGATAAGTTTCCTGTCTCCAAGAAAGTTATTTGACTTCAAAATAACTGCAGGACGAGGTCTGTGAAGGAAGATTCGATAGGAGCCTCCGGAACAAATAAATATAGAGAATTGGTTAGACCTTTGGACATTCGCACAAAGGCAGGTATTCGGTCTCTGATCCGGATTGTAGTCCACGAACGCGAGCAAAACTAGCAAAGGGGAAAATGTAGTATGTAAATTCGTGTAACAAAAGGAGAAGGATATGCGTTGTTATCTTTATTGTTACTTCAGCATAGCATAGGTCTAGGTGCTGTCATTGCTGCCTTCTTGCTGTGGAACAGTATTGAAAAGCAAGTGTGAATCTTAACACTGAATATGAACAGAATGCGAATTAATTCATAAGATACCATGACTTGTATTTTACCAGATACGATAAACTGAGTCCCATGCAGCCGTGTTCTTATGTGTGTTGTGGTTGTAGATAATGTGGGAGATAGGGAGTCAATGATGGACTGGAGGACAGAAGAAGGTGATAGCTAATGGAGCGAAGTGAGATCATAATCTGAAAGAGTTGTTAGAGAGGGGTATCGCGGGTTAGAGAGTTCCATGTTGTGCCGCTCAGTAATTGGATAGACCACCTACTGAGGACTAGGTAGGAACGAGATGCGAAGTACATGATGCAGCAGCTGCCCATGGGTGACAAATTGACAAAACGATCAGAAAAGGGCATCTGTAGCTGGGCAAGTGGCGTAATACAAAATGAGAAAGAGAGCTTGCACGTCCGTGAGTAGACCGGAAAAAAGAGAGAAATAAGTATGCGTTTTGGGTGCTCTAAACAAGTCTAATGAGTAATAATGCAGCAATATACAATGTACTTCAAGGAACAGTGTTGTATGTTGTTCTATTCTGGCAACACCAGTGAATACAGGGGGATATTCAATTGATTTTGATAGCAATAATCATGTGACGGTACAGAATGTGCTGGCTGCTATTTGATTTTATGCAGTGGTTTTGCGACGCTGGCCTTACCATTCAAGATGCTTTCCTCATCAGCAGATTCCAAATCATGTAAGTGCATTGTGCGAACACATGCACGCACATGCGCACGTGAACACTTGCATGAGCTTTCGCGGCAGCGAGTACGCGAACGCTTCCACGCCCACTTGCAAATGTACTCAATTGCACATACACACACACACACACACACACACACACACACACACACACTTGTACTTGCTCACTCCCAAAACTGGTCACGTGGGTCTCCCCGGGAGAGCTAGAGAGGCGAGACTAGCAAGACTCGCGAGAGACTCAAAAGGAATCTTGGAAAGATGACTCAATTGGCTATTGAACCGCCCAACGGCCGACACCCCTAAAATCGTGGACGTGGAAATGATCCCACTTATGGCCCGGGCTCACCACACACAGTAAGGGTGTGAGGACAAGGTGCAGAAAAAGGAATGATGGCATCAAGGTATCCGTCCGGGGATCCAACTGCATTTACCCCTGCCCCCAGTGAAGGTAATACTCGCTACTAGTACTATTCTGAGTAAATCAGAGTGGATCTGATATAAGTTTCACTAGCACTACCATAGTGATTACATAAGAGTTAATCCAGCCAGAAGTAGTCCATGGTTAACAGGTACACACAGGGGCGTAGCAGCCGCTCCGGCTTTGGCCGGACCACTTTTTCGCCCGACCACGACCACCATAGTAAAACAGTGCCAAAAGTGCCCAGAATGCAGGATTTTGCAACCTAATTTCAAAAGAATTACGGGGGGACATCCCCCCGGACCCCCCCCCCCCCTCCTTGGCCGGACCACCGCCAACGGCGGTGCTATGTGCCTGACACAGGGCAGAACAACAGAGACCAAAAATCCTTCTCGTGACTCCGAGTTTCGTGTTTCAAAAAACACTCATCAGACAGATTAACAGGTATGTATACTTCAAATTTGAGCCCTGAAACCAGGTGGTAGGTACAACATTACATCTTTAAGCAGAAGAACCCCCCCCCCACACACACACCCACACACACATGCACTCATGTACATAATGTATGCACGAACACACGTGTACACATACACACACACGCACACTCATACACACACACACACACACACACACACACACACATGCACATATGTACGCACGAACACACGTGTACACAATACACACACACACACATGCACACGCATACACACATTCACACACACACACACTCCCGAAAACAGCGGAGCAGACGGAGAGCACCACTACCATACAAAGAGGAGATGGGAAAATCCGATCAATATGCTCATTGACTCAAGTAAATCATCCATGAAGCAAAGCTAACTATTGCAGCAAAGGAATAGTATGACTTAACTATTAAGCAGGTGAACGGATTTGAAAAAGAAAATAAGTTTTCCCTCCACTTGACAGCACATTGGCAATAAAATCAGCAACAGCCAAGACAATTGTGTGTGACAGGGATGAGGAAAGTTTCCATTGCACGCAAATGGATCGTTATAGCGGCATAAAGCCTGTCAGACAAAAAACAACTGAGAGTAATGACAAGATCATTTTGGATAACTTAAGGACGAGGTGTTATTCGGCGCTACAGACAGCAACAGAACACTCATTAGCCGACGTAAGGAGGGGGAGAATATTTGCAATTCGTAAATATGGGCAACACGGACAACATAATAGAATCTAACCGGTAGGCATAATGGCAGCCGCGAAACGGGCTGCAGGAGTTCGTGAGTGCGTATTACAGGCTATCTCGTGGTGGAAACTTAGCACTAGATTTAATCGTCGAAAAGTACAGTTGATGTTTCGCGAAAGCATCGATGGATGGAAAGGTCATAAAAGTAAAGCTCCAGCCAATGGACAAAGCGCATTCTGCTCTTGGTCAAGAGCGCTAGGATTAGCATGTGCAGAAAAAAAAGCAATAATTAGGTTTGGTTTTTAACAGGCCCGAAGCGTGACCATGTTCGGAAGGGAATCACTATTAATTCAAAGAAAAAAAGGGGGGGGGTATTATCTCGGTTGAGTTGGAAGATTGTTATCGCTGAAGGGATGTACACTGGAATCAGTGACAACACCTTCCCTATTTATTGCGTTTCCTTGTCGGGGCCGAGAAAAGGGGGAAGTTAGTTAGAAGAAAGGACGCTGACAATATTTGGCTGCCGCAAAAAGAAAAGGCGATTGGGTTGTATGACTATAAAAATTAACACACTCAAGTATTAGAAACATGTGTTAAGAGTTACTCATTATCGGCAGTGTTTAATTAACACAATTAAAACATGAAAAGTGCCAGATCATGTTTATGTGACTTTGTGTGAGTATGAGTGACAGAGAGGGGAGCGGGGCGGGGGTCGAGAGGGAAACAAACAAAAAAAGAGAGAGAGAAAGAGAGAGAGAGAGAGAGAGAGAGAGAGAGAGAGAGAGAGAGAGAATAGAGAAAGAAAATAGAGACAGACAGACAGACAGACAGACAGACAGACAGACAGACAGACAGACAGACCGACAGACAGACAGACAGACAGACAGACAGACAGACAGACAGACAGACAGACAGACAGACAGACAGACAGATAAATAGATAGATAGATAGATAGATAGATAGATAGATAGATAGATAGATAGATAGATAGATAGATAGATAGATAGATAGATAGATAGATAGAGACAGACAGACAGACAGGCCCACAGGCAGACAGACGGACATACCGGGAGAGATGGGGAGAGGGAGATGGAAAGGGAGAGAAGTATAGAGTGCCCATAAGACTCAGAGCTGTAAGTGTATGCGTACATGCAATGACAGCCACCACTGAAAGGAATTGCTATTTCCCCAGTAGTCTGGATCGGCGGAACTATCCACTCACCGTCATTATTGGGAGAAGTGGAGGATAAGCGTACTGTTGAGATCTATTTCAAGTTGGCTAGTTTGACCTGGTTACTCGATGTAGGCATCCAGGTAGAGGCAGTAAATTATATTATATTACTGAACTCTCCACATCTCTAAATTCATTGCCATGGCAAGACCAGATGAAGAGAAGAGAATGTGTGTCATGCACGAGAAATTCATGACCGAGCTTAGTCAACAATGACCAAACGATAAGGGTCGTGCAATTCATCGCAGGAATCGGATTCTATGCGGTATCCCTGTGAAGCCGTCATGCTGCCCGTTTGGATTCGCTGTACGGACACAGATGGGAACTCAGGACTTGAGACTGGAGTAGCGTCGGCACAGGACCTGGTTGGTAGCGGCGACAAATCAGAGCTGCTGCTGTTGATGCTGCTGCTGCTGCACTCGCTGGGTGAGGATAGAGCCTGCTCTGTATCGTCACTCTGCGGTGCAGAGGTACGTTTACCGGAGGTTGCAGCGGCGTTGGCACTTGTGTGGCGTGCAAAGTGCGCTTCGAGGCGGGCACGCGAGCTGAAGCGCATCTTGGGGCAGAGCGAGCAGTTGTAGGATGTCTCAGTGGCCTTGTGCACTTGCTGGTGCAGAACCAACGATGACTTCTGAGTGAACGAGCGGTTGCACACGTCACACTTGTAGAAGACGATCTCCTTCTTCTCGGTCACAACAGCTTCTCTTGCCGGACCAACTTTGAACGGAGAGCGTGGCGAACGGCCAGCGGATGGTTTCTCGCTCTTCACCGTGCGCTCATTGTGGATGGCGCTGAGATGGCGAGCAAGGTTGCACTTGTAGAGGAAGCGCTTGTCGCAGTGTTCACACACCAAGTTCCTCTCCATCATCTGAAAGCTTTGCCGCTTTTCCAGTGAACCCTGACTTATTTGGTTGGTGAACGACTGCGCGATCAGCTCCATCGGCGTCGCCTTGTGGGGATGAGACGGGCTCGTGAAGTGATATGGCTGCGCTGGCTGGTAGTGCTGCTGCTGCTGCTGGCGTTGTACATTGTCCGGAGAGAGTGCTTGAGAGAACTGTGCTTGGTATTGTGGTGCGAGGAAGATGGTCGTCGGCCGCTGGTACACATTCGGCTGGTAGGGAGTGTTGCAGGGCATTGCCTGCACGCTATACTCACACGGCGTCACAATCGGGGTTACTGTACTGGTTAAAACAGGGAGCACTGTCTTTCTTCGCAGCAGCTGCTCGAGAATGCTCATTGTCTGCGCTGGTGGAGGTGGGATGGTTTCTTCGTCTGACTGCTTCTCTGCGGCGCTCAGAGAAGTGTCACTGTTGGACGAGTGCTTTCGCCGCTTGTTCTGCGGTGGTTCACTGACCTGGGTCGTATCTTCATTCATGGGCGGAGCGGTCGGCCACTGGCCAAACCTGGACCTGTCTTCTTCATTTTCCGGAGTGAGAGGAGGCTCAGGCCATTGGCGAACGGCCTCATTGTCCGGAGTGAGAGGAGGGGTGGTCATCGCAGCATGGATGGGTTTAGCCGTGATGTTGAGTCGGAGCATGTTGCTGCTGCGAGAAGCTGAACGGAATCGTCGTGCTCTGCGGTGCGCTACTCTCTGCTTGAAAGAAGCGTCGTAGTCACTCTCCGAGCTGCTGCTGGTGGATGGAGAGGATGAGCTGTAATGGATGTGCTCACTGCGCATGTGGTCACGCAGGCAGTCGTCATCCACAAACACGGCGCTGCATTCCAGACACTTGACGTCGCTGCGTACGCGGTGACGCTGCATGTGCTTGAGCAAGCGTGCCTGGTTGGCCAGCTTGGTGCCGCAGTGTGGGCACTGAAGAGGATTCTCCTTGGACAATGGCAAGTCACAGTCAGGAGTGCTGCTACCAACAAGAGAGTTGTTGTTGTTGTTGTTGAAGCGGTTTACTGCCTGAGGATGCATGGTTGCAGTGACAGACATGGCTAACCTGGGATACCGGGTGACACACACACTACACTACCTACAGAGGAATGCAAAACGGGAACACGACACAAAAGCAGCAAACAAAGTCCATCTTGATGTTTATAGGGTTGAGAGTGTGATGGACATGCGCCCTCATGCATAAAAAGCGAGACAAAAAAATAGAGATTCCTGGGCCCTCCCGCACCAAAATCGAGCCGAAGTCATTTTTTTTGGCACAGTTCACGTACATGTACATTGCTGATCGTGTGAGTAGATCTGTGACGGAGAGTCACACAAACCCGGGCTTGTACGACTCCCTACATACATACAAAAGCACACGCGTATACACTGCGACTCGTGCAATTCTTCATTGCCATATTTGGATCTAGAACAGTCCAGGATATGGGAGCAAGAAATTCGGTCAGGTTTTACTAAATTCGGTCAGGTTTTACTAAATTAGGACAGATATCATGCACAGGTGTATTCGGGAGTAGTTCTTTTCTGCATATAAAATGTTTGCTCATTATATGAGTGAAATTCGTCATTCCTGACGAGCTGCGACAACCTGCACGGCGAAAAGCACGCCATGTGATTTGTGATTGACTTGTCATTGTAGTCAACTCGCCCATCAAATTGTCAAGCGAGTGAATGAATACTGCAGGAATTTGGCGCTCTTTTTTCTCCAACCCTCGACTACAAAGCTCCCCCCCCCCCCTCCCCCATCGTTATTTAATCTTTGATATTTCTGAGCAACCCAAGTGGGTTGGTGTGCAACTTTGCTATGTCTTGTCTTGGTTAGACTGCATAGTCATGCACTCCAGTGCGCTAGTATTAGAGACTACGCTAGTTCCGTAAAGTACCGCCAGAGCGCCCCGTCTCGCCAGAGCGCCCCACCTTGATTTTACAGCCAAGGGAAGAAAATCGTACGGCAGAATGCTACTAAGTTTGTAGGATGTGAGAACCTTCGTGTACTAAAGTCACACTTGGTATGCTTTTATGTGGAGCTCGAAGGTAAACTGGGTACGGATTGACTGCACAATGTGCAATGTTTGTACAAGGTCCGTGTCGTATGACTTACAGACAGGAATCCACCTCCACAAAGCGGCCACGAAAGGACGAGATGGCGGGGCGCTCTGGCGGTACTTTACGGTAATGGGGACCTGCGCATCTGCACTCATCACTCGGTTCTCATGAACCCAAAGTAGTGGGCCCTTCGATCTACCGGCCACCCGTTGCAGGTGGAAATATTACTACTCTTTTGTCACCGTTTTGTAGAAACAGTGACGTCACATGCCATATCTGGACCTTCCCCCCATCAAAATGTATGTGATTTGGAGTTGCGGACATTTCAAAGTTACGGCCAGTGCTCGGTCCCTGACCGCCCGGATAAACAAGGTATGAGCATACTAGCTACCACGCTATCCTTCTTTTGCTCACTGAACGTAATACATGATCACTTTGCCAAAAACAACTGCGAATTTTGAAATAGTTCAAATACTACAGCGAGGAGACAGCAATTTTAGTACCACAATCAATAAGACGAGCTGAATCGACATTTGTGTATACTTTATTCATGCAGTGTAAAATGGTGGAGACAATGTGCACTAGAACGATGAACGTAGGAAGAAATCACATTCTACACTGCATGGACATGAGTAACGCTTACACAAATGTCGATTCAGCTCGTCTTATTGACTGCGGCACAAATACTACAAGAACTCTGCGAAGTAAAATAAATAGGAGTCAAACGGGTGTACCTCTAACTAACGAATGGGTACTTTTCTAAACGGACGGGTTAACGGGTACCCTTTAGCAGCCATGTTTAATTTTTTGCCCAATTTTCACATAAATCAAGATTTTAATTCATCTGTTCTCGGGTTGCATTTTGAAATCACATTGTGATTTGTAAATCGATTGGTGTCTGATAGTCGCAGGAGTAGATCTACTAGGTGCGAAAATGCAACAATGCAGACATCCAGCGTGGAGTTGTAAATAATTGACTCCCCCTGGAATACACGATCCCAGCAGTGTTGCTCCGTACTGACTGGTTCATCAAAATCCAAACGGGTACCCTTTTACTAACGGTACCTGAGATTAACGGTCGGGTACCCGGCACACCCCTTTGACCCCTAAAAATAAACAACAACAACAACAACAACAACAACAACAACAACAACAACAACAACAACAACAACAACAACAACAACAACAACAACAACAACAACAACAACAACAACAACAACAACAACAACAACAACAACAACAACAACAAAGGAATTCCGTTGAATATGTAGTGTCACATCATATTCTTTAGAAGCTTTTCTCTGGCACATTTTTTATCATTTACATGTATTATCCCAGTTCTGCAAGCTTACAATCATATGCTCAAGCGCAGAGCTCTGCCCTAGACTACCGTATTTCCTCGATTAATGGACCATGCTCGAATAATAGACCATGCTCAAATAGTAGACCATCCTAGAGGCCTCACGGAAAAATAGTAGACCATGCCCGAATAAGAGACCCGGTCTCTTATTTGAGTTCATCGCTTTGCACATGCGCACTAAGAAAGCACTTGGTGGATCAAAAAGGACCCGATTTTAGGTTGCGTAACTACAATTTTTGTAGTGGCTAGTGATTTCTTTCATTAAGTTCTATATTATGACGTGTTTAAAAAACCACCATTTCCAGCGATGTGCCGATGAAAATATAGTGGACCATGCCCAAATAAGAGACCCGGGGTCCAACCCTCTTCAAAAAACAAAAGACCGGGTCTATTAATCGAGGAAATACGGTATGTCTTTTTCTCTTTCTTTGCTCACCTATTGCTCATTACTTCTTTTGCAGATTTGGTCTGATGGAAAGTTTGGAAACCCCCTCGATAGGCGAAAGCCTTTGGGGAATCCTTTAACAATAAAAATTACAAAAATTACAGCAACAACAACAACAACTATCTATGGCCATACCGGACGCGCTGAGAGGGAAGGTAACTATCTGGCTGCTTGCACGCCGACAAAACTTGAGACCAGCTCACGACCGGGAAAAGAGGAGAATCTGGATGCATACGGAGAATGATGAAGCAAGGAATAAAAATATTCAACGTCTTGTCGCCAAAAATATGTCAGTAGACCATAGGTTTGAAACAAGATACGCACGTGTGTGTGCATGTGTGTGTGTGTGTGTGTGTGTGTGTGTGTGCATGTGTGTGTGCACGTGTGTGTGTGTGTGTGTGTGTGTGTGTGTGTGTGTGTGTGTGTGTGTGTGTGTGTGTGTGTGTGAGTGTGTGTGTGTGTGTGTGTGTATATGTGCCTGGGTGTGAGTACGTGGGAGCAGAATACATTTTCAAGTGTTCTCTATAAGATAAAATTATAAACAAGTATAATGCCATGCATATTAGACTTACAATTGGTTACCGCTGGAGCGAATATGGGTCCAGGCGTAAATCAAGTTGAGAATCCACTGGTCGTCACAACACGGAATGCTTCAAGGATGTCTGAAAGAGGACAAAAAAAGAACAACCGTTGAGGCGAAAATAAGCATAACATGGCAAAGAATGAAACAAATTGTGCAGTCATAACAATGTAAAAGATAAATGCACTAATTTCCAAAACGTTTTAATTTAGTGACGACTTTCCACTGACGTGTGTCACGCGAAAACGTTTTGGAAATTAGTAGTACATCTATCATTTACATTGCTACGACTGCACATTTTCACTGCCAAAAAAATAAAGAAATAATGAATTTTCAACAGGTAGGCGTGTTGTAACCGTAATAATTATACCATATTTCCCCGATTATTATTATTAAATTTTGAATAGGGCAGTCATATAAGTCGCACTTAATTGTAAGTCACAACCCATTTTTAGGTCTGAACCAAATTGTATCAAGACATTCATATGAGAAGGAGGTCACACTCGATTGTAAGTCGCATCTCCATGGCTCAACAGAGGTGAACATCTTCAAAACAAGTGTGCGATCAGGCCCGCCATTAATACAATCCTAGGTACATGCACCTTCCCCTCAACAGTGCACGTATGTCCTCGTGTAATAAGCGCACGGACTTTTGGACTCCAGCTTTTGCTCCTTCGAGCTTCGCAGATAGTGATGCCATCGCAATGCCATGTACTGCTGACGCACGAGAGTTAATGATAGCTTGCATGCCGTCCCGGCCCCCCGGTAAGACCGAGGTCGATGCCAGCTATCATTAAATCCGCTTACCCCTACACCACAGCGAGCATTAAGAGCATGATAGCCCCAAACACATACATAACGTGTACATGCCACCTCCTTACAGTGACACAGCACTTAGCGCCTGCCATGTGAAGATCTAAGGCTCTGCATGGTGTATTATTTTTTTAAATTTCATTTATTTATTTAATTTTTTAGTGTAGTAGATTGCCACCTGCTATGCTATTACGGTGAGTTATGTTTTTTTTTGTTATTTAATATTATTAAAAAATTATTAAATTTTGAATAGGGCATTCCCACAGTTTGTTGACCCCCTTCCTGCCTTAGTTCATGTGGGAATTGTATTTCCCCTCCATGCAGCTCATTTTGAAACCTCATTCCATTGGCCACTTTACTCCCACTTGGAACTCCAGCATTGAAAATTTATATTCCTCCTCGAGATTATCAATGGTTGTATTCCTTAAAAGAATGTGTGAAATCGTGAAATGCAGTGATATAGTGTGTATGGGCGAGTGCTACTTGTATCTTGTATCTATATTGCTTTTATTTTACATCGCAAGTCAAACGGGCAATCATGCCCAATGTTATGATGACGATGGAAAGGGAGAAAAGATTAAGAACAAGATTATTTAATAAATATTTATCCTGGATTATGGGGAGTGAAGAAAACGATGAGTCTAGGAATCTCTCCTTAGATCATCAACATTGGTCATGAACAGTTTCCTCTGAGACAAAAATGCGATAATACTCATTAAAAGGACACACTTCAGGCTCATTACAAACATCTTGAAAGTTTTTGTCTTCACAGGTATACTTTCAAGCCTACTTGTCAGGTGAAACGAGAGAGCTTGGAAGCTCAGGGCCCTACGCTATCGCCCTGCATGCATCCCCCGATACACTTCGCATACATACATACTAATTCTTCCAAGTTGCTTCACGTTATGATCTTTCATTTGAAAGCCCTATTTGAATATGCATTGTGGCCAGCCGTCTTTGATGGTCCGGTACGGTACGGGACAGGTACGGTCGAGGTAATACGACACCGTCTACCGCATTGATGACATAGGCAAAAAAAGCATAGGGATGTTATAAATTTTTCAATTCTCCTTTTTTTTCAGGCATAACCTGGGATTCGAACCCGCACTATCGCCCTACATGCATTCCCTCATACACTTCGCATTCATACTCATTCTTCCAAGTTGCTTCACGTTATGATCTTGCGTTTGAAAGCCCTATTTGAATATTCCGGCCAGCTGCATGTGGCCAGCTGCATGTGGCCAGCTAGCTGTGTTTGATTGTACGGTACGGTACGGGACAGATACGGGATAGCGCCAGGCGTGACACAAACAAACAAACAAACACCAAAATAATTAAAGCTGTGTGGACCCTGGCTAGCGCCAGACGTTACTGAAGTAACGTCTTCTGCATAGCTACGGGAATAAAGTATACTTGTGAAGACAAAAATTTTCAAGATGTTTGTAATGAGCCTGAAGTGTGTCCTTTTTATGAGTATTATTGGTCATGAAAGTCTACTTTCAATGGACGTGAGAGTTGAGATGTGCTAGGTCAGGCCAACTAGAGGGGAATTCTAGGCTGTGAGATTCCGAAGGACTTAACCCCTTCAAGTCTGAAAAGACATCCTACATATTCCAACTATTCAACCTCTATCTCCACGTCATTATGTTCTTTCTTCCTTCTTGTTTTTCTTCCTTTCTTTCTGTCTTTTCTTTCTTTCTCTTGCCATTTCTGGGTCCCCTCCTTTGCATTGGCTTCTGCCATTGGACCGTGAAACAAAATAAAATAGAGATGTCAACCTTTTCTCATCATATGCTCATTCACATGCTGTTCTTCCCCTTTTTCTTTGCAAGTGCCCACACTTTAAAAAAAATTCCTTTCCACTCTCTAGATCTCTCCACATTCGTCTTTGTGATAATCACAAGACAGCTTCAAGTTCTGGTAGGAAACCCCGTTCAGTGGCCAATCTACTCACAATCCCCCCCCCCCCCCCCCCAACTGTCATAAATTCCCTGCAACTTACATTGTATGGCCACCAGTCATCCAAGAAACTACACACAAAAGGGATTTTCTTCAGCAACTTCCACACGGACACGCACAGATTCAAGCGACACGAGGAGTTTACATTACAGACGCTCGTCCCCTGTAGCATATAGCTAGCATGCGGACCGCGCCCAGCCAGGTCCTTTTCTGGCGTCACCGAGCGCCATAAAGGGAGTGGGGCACTACACACAGACACGCACAGATTCAAGCGATACGAGGAGTTTACATGACAGGTCCTTTTCTGGCGTCACCGAGCGTCATAAACGGAGTGGGTCACGACACAGAACACGCACAGATTCAAGCGACACGAGGAGTTTACATGACAGACGCTCGTCCCCTGTAGCATTATTATTATTATTATTATCAAAATTTTGATAGGGCAATCCCCACAGGCCTAAGGCCTTCTTACAGGGTACCCTATATTTATAGCTAGCATGCGGACCGCCCGCCCCCTTTTCTGCATAAACGGAGTGGGCCACGACACAAGGACACGCACAGATTCAAGCGACACAAGGAGTTTGCATGACAGACGCTCGTTTATCCGTGATGCTAGTAGGTTTTACTCAAAGAATTAGTTCCTGTACGGGCAAATACTCATGTAAAAGACTTCAAACAATCTCTTCGAGACTAGTCACTGTATGACAGACAAAATTACAGTGACGGGACATCGATTACTCCTATTCTGAGATACCCCACAATGCGAACGCTACAATTTTGCGGCGTGCCACAATGTTCTGGAAAGGAGCACGAAGAGAACATCTAGCTAGATCGGGAACTTTCGAATCAGTTGAATCATACGAATGAAGTTTGGCGTGGCAGAGGAGTGTTACGGCATGCCTCACAGCTCTCAGTAGAAATGAACAGAAGTCAAGACAACACAATGAAAATAAACTGCAATCTCCTTCGAGTCCTGGTCGAGTGGTGGTGACAGTCAATTTTTTTCTTCGGACTTTCAACCCGATTGTACCTACCCCTCAGACTAATGAAAATGAACAAAACAATCTACACACACACACACACACACACACACACACACACACACACACACACACACGACACGCTGAAATGCCAGGAGACAGACGATAGATTTCTTGCTGGACGGTTGAAGCATTACTGACACGGGAAACGTTCAATCTGTTACGATGCTGATCTATAATATAATACCTATTATTTTGGGATTCTGCTTGAATCCAGCTCGTCTTCCCTAAACCTAAGGCATACGATACATTCAATTTGTTGTTATTATTATTATTATTATTATTATTATTAAATAATACGAAATAGAGGTTGCGACTTCGGCGATGGTTTTGTTTAGGAATGGGTTTGCTCCCACACTGGAGTTCGCGCTATTCCGCCGATGACTTGACACTTGCCTGACTCACGCCTGCCATCCAGAGAACACGAGAAGCCCATCAAACCTTCGACTCGGCAAACCTGCAAGAAAGCACCACTCCCGGCACAATCTTCCTCAGCCTACTCAAGCTCAACTGATGAGGGGTGAATTCCCCGAAACACTGTGTATTGAGCAGGGAGTGGTGCTTTCTTGCAGGTTTGCCGAGTCGAAGGTTTGATGGACTTCTCGTGTTCTCTGGATGGCAGTCGTGAGTCAGTCAAGTGTCAAGTCGTCGGCGGAATAGCGCGAGCTCCAGTGTGGGAGCAAACTCATTATTATTATTATTATTATTATTATTATTGTTATGAAATGACACAAAGGCAATGTTCAGCGACTTCCAACCGCCATTCAGTTACCAACAAGAGCCAGGAGTGCAACAAAAAAACACCAATTGTAAGGCCTGCAAATGCACGCATGCACGGAACACGTTCGGCATTGTGTGTTCCGCGTTGTTATAATAGACTACGCAATTCAACACGGTGCATGTCTGCACACTATAACAGTAGGCAAAAAGAAAGGAGAGTTGGACAAAAGGGAAGCACGATGACACAGGCACTGCTAGAAATACGGAGTTGCTGACAAATTTAAAGACATTGGTAACTCACCGAGGTCTTGTCTCCGTCGAGCCTGATAAACCAGCGTGTTGTTGATTGCAATCAGGTGCTGTTGCCGGTTGGACAGTTGACAGGGGGCGCGGTCGTACACTAGAAAGACGTTGAGTGACCAGAACGCGAGGCTGAAAGCAGCGCAGTCGAACGGCAATAGAAGCGAGGAACCCCAAACCACGCAACCACCGCGACCACCGTCAGGAAATAATAAGCAACCTCGTGTCGCCTCGCTCCAAAGTCTTTATTCCTCCGATTACTAGGACAACTAGGGGGTGCACTGCAGTACTGGTGGAGCATCGTGGCGGAGGAAGACCAGGGGCCCGACCGTATTTGGCATTTTGGGGATCCTGCCAGGCAGGCCGACATGAGCAGAGCTTATCGGGGCCCTCGCGTCGCTTGAACCCCGCAAGCTGGGCGAAAAGGGAAGAAGCGCTATCCAAAAGCGCTGCTTGATAGGGCGACGCTTCCAAAAAGACTCATACAGGCGCCTTATAGACAGTGGCGTTGGAAGCGGGGCGCAAAGGGGGCGCCAGCCCCCCCCCCCCCCCCTCTCCCCCAAACGTTTTGCCTTTGGCGGATGTAGTGCCGAAGGCCCGAAACTCTATGAGCATGTTTGTACGCGCAAGTGAGGAGCATGCAGTGCAGACAGCATAACTTAAGACTTAGTCATGCACTGCCGGCCACTCAGATCGATCGTAGTCAGAGCTAGCTGAGCATGTTGTTGTTGTTGTTGTTGTTGTTGTTGTATTCTTTTATTTATTTATTTATTTATTTCTGCACCTCGTGGCATGTCAAGACAGCCAATTGAATTGAGGAGAGGGTGAGACCAACCACGGAAGAAGAGAAAAAAGAAAAGAAATGAAGAGCACGTACACAAAGTGGTTTTCAATTCGCTCAGGGCACAGGCAATACTGCCTTCTCACCGGAGAGAGGATTCTCCGATTCCTACCAAAAACGAGAAATCTATGTTGTTGTTGTTTATTTATTTATTTTACATCACTACAGTCATGTAGATCTACTTCGGCCCAGGAAGTCCCGACTGTTTGAGATCTAACAGAATAGGCGTGCCACCGGCGTGAAGCACGGTTACTAGATCATCCCTTGGTGGTTTTGCATCGTAGTTGCTAATGAAGCGTTGTTTTTCGTGGGCAGTTTTCTTCGAAATCGGAAAAGCAGGAGTACTTCCCTTTAGCCGGGGGCACTACTTCTCATTGCTACACCACAGCGTTCTGAAGAAAGCCACTTTCCGGAAGAAATTTCGAGACTGACTATTATTAGTACTAGTAGAGTGCTAGTAGTTCTAGGAGAGCGAAGATTGCAAGGTACGACCACCAAAGTCTTGGGCAGTGGTCATAAATTTCAAAATTTTCAGGAGAAACTGAGCCCGATCGAGGCTTCCAGCTAGCTAGGCACCGGCGCGGCGAATTATGCCGGCAGAAAAATGGGCAGAATTCGGCACTTTTTCTTTTTTTGGTAGGTTTCATGCATGTTTGGTATGTGGATAAAGAAATGGAGCAGAATTCGAGGAATTGCCCGCCATAACACTTTGGGTCATCCTAATAAAGTTATTATTATTGTTATCATTATTGAGAATGATGAAACTACAATAGGATTTATACACTTGCAGTGGAACAGCGAGGATACAAGCATAGTAAGAAAAATCATTCGTGATCCAAATCTTTGTAAACAAAAAGAAAATGTCACCGCACTTACGCTATTCCAGTAAATTCGCACTCACACACACTTGCACATGCATGTCCATTGTCACACTGCACTTGCTGAATTTCCTATCATTTCTCACCTCACCTATAGTTTATTACCTGTGCAAATTGTTCCTAGGTTTGTGCTATTTTTCTTACTATGCTTGTATCCTCGCTGTTCCACTGCAAGTGTATAAATCCTACTGTAGTTTCATCATTCTCTTTAGTCACGAATTCCATTGATAATAGTTATCATTATTTTTTTTTGAAGTATTATTATTATAAGGCTTGTATGGTTCTGCCAATTTCACTGCTTTTCGAGCAGAATCTGCCACCTTTTCGAGCATAGTCCTCCGGTGCCTACTTCCAGCCATCATTCTATGACCTCCGAAAGATGTCACCAGGGTAGTAGTAGTAGTAGCAGTAGTATTTATTATTTTGTTAGGGAAATCCCTACAGACGTTGCCGTCTTTTTTCAGGGAACCCTAAGTGCTCTTTGCAGAGCGAAATGAAAGCGGATGGTTGATCAGCTTGGCGACACAACATAGGCAGAGAATTCCACCGATCAGCGCCAAGGAAAGAAACAGAGAACATGCCATATCTAGTTTTAGCAGCAGGCAAAGAAATAGACGAGAAGGACTGTCATCTATCTATTCCGTAATTCAGTACTTTCATTTCTAGGGTACCCTGTAAGAAGGCCTTAGGCCTGTGGGGATTGCCCTATCAAAAATTTGATAATAATAATAATTACCTTTTGTTATTACCTTAGTGCTAGGATTATCATTTTCATAGGTGTTGTTTCTTCTCACTCCATTTCTCTTTATTAGTATCTTTCTGGATTGTTTTTCATTAGTACAACGTAGCTTCATGAGGAGTGTTGTGCGAAAACTAGTTCGAAGTACGATATTTTGTTCATAATAATAATAATAATAATAATAATAATCCACCGTGCACCCTCCGAAACCAAAGGTACTTATCGCCGCGCCGTCGTTGCGTGCATCTTCGCCCGACACCGTCAACAGTTCCCACTAGCTCGATATGGAGCCTGTTTGTACGCTTGCGACCCAGCAAGGCCCGCTTAATTAAGCGCTTTTGGAGGATGATTACCTAACGGCAGCTCGATAGGTACCTTTATAGATGTTCAACAGGATCCATTCCTGGTCCCCTGCGTTTTCCTGGTATGCGTGAACGATTCCCAACGCGTCTCCTACGATGTTGTTAGCTCTCTCTCTCTGTTCGCGGACTGTACGAGACTACGAGGTGATTTGCCTTTTTCTTGGGCATTTTTTAACAAATGTGTAAAATTTGCTTTTCTTCTGGCTGTTTCTCTGCCCCGGATAATAATAATAATAATAATAAATTGAACGGTCTCTGCTTGGATGACGACTACACCATAGCTCAGTGGTTAGAGCATCGCTGGCTACAAGCGAGGGTCCCTGGTTCGAGTCCTGGTGGTGACAGTCAATTTTTTCTTCAGACTTTTCCCGTTTATCTCTTTCCCTCAAAACCAGTTAAAATAATAATAATAATAATAATTTGAAACTCGGATGTTGAGCCATAAATAAATGTACCAAATGATTGTATACTGAAGACTTGTTATTACGAGACGGACGCACACAATCTCGACTCACGCGCACACCCTCACACTCACTCTCACCCCCACTCAGCTCACCCTCTCCCTCACTGTCCGAATCAGAACCTGCTCCGTCATCCACCGCGGTTTGACTCTCCTCCTCACTTCCATCGTCCTGCGTCTCACCTTCACCACCCACACCAACCGTGAATGCCGTTGCCTTCACGTCAGTCGTCGTCCTTTCCGATTGTTTCCTTTGTATTTTTACCGTGAATTCATAGGTCCGGTTGTAATCTGCTGTAGATCTCCGTGGTCTGTCATTTGCTGCTTTGTTTTGTGGATTAGTTGTTGTTGTTGTTGGATGTGAACCTGGTGTTGTTGTTGGATGTGAAGCTGGTGTTGTTGTTGCAGCCATGGTTGTTGGTCTTTCTGTTGAATCCAGCTCTGGTTCCGGTGGGACAAATCGACCGCCGCGGGTGCTCCCCACCAACACAGACCTCGAAGGAGGAGGGTCAGGGGGAGGCAGAGGTGCTGTCACCACTCGAGGCACAGCCCCATGCAAAGCACCCAGAGGCACAGACTTAGGCACACCCGAGGGCTGCACCAATGGCGGTTCCGCACGCACCTCCAAAGAGCTGCCAAGCTCAACATCGCGGTTTAGGTATTTGTATGATCGTGCACGCTGCTTTTTCTCCTCTCACGACTTCTTGAGATTCTCTATGCTCCTTTCGGAAAATGACCAGAAACAACGTATCCATCTAATCACAAAACATGACAAGACCTACAATTGGCTAAGACAGAAAAGATATGGACATGTCACCATCGATCCTGATACCACCATAATTAACATGACATCACTAGAGTTGACCACTCTTCAGAAAGAGCTCCTCTGTCGTGGAACCGATTTCGGGATTCCGCCAAAATCAAACAAGAAGGAAGTAATCATGACCGAGTTTGAGCTCTTTTACCGCAAGTTATTACGCTTCAGACCGGTGTCCGAGTCACAACAGTCCATTTGCGCCGCAAAGATCCGGGCAGAGGCCGAGGAACACGCTGATGCATTACCGGATAGAAGAACGTTTTCATTGAAACGCGAACATCTCAAAGCCCTGCATGAGCTACGGAATAACAAAGACATTATTGTCACGCGCCCTGATAAGGGTCGTGCAACTGTTTTAAAGAATAAAACTGACTACATCGAGAAGATGTCCGTTATCCTAAATGACACATCAAAGTTCCGTACACTTGGTCCGGTCAAGACCTGTGATCGAACTGAAAAAGTAGAAAAGGATCTTGTAACCTATCTTAAGAAGCTAAAGAATGAAGAACAAATATCAAAACATGAATTCGATCGCATCAAACCGACTGGTACCCTTCGTCCTAGACTCTATGGCCTTCCTAAAATCCATAAACCTACATGCCCTGTTAGACCAATAGTATCCATGACCGCCTCCCCTCAATACTCTATCTCGAAATGGCTGTGCATCTACCTACAGCCTGTTCAAGATTACTATTGCAAACGCACTGTGAAGGATAGCTTCGACTTTGTTGCAAGGCTTCGTGATAGTCCGGTCCCTCTCAATGCACACATGTGTTCCTTCGATGTTGTAAGTCTCTTTACGAATGTTCCTATTGATGAGATTGTTGACATCTGTATGGATGTATTGTACCGTAACGATGATGTTGATACTCCATGGGTATCGGAAGCGGCGTTTCGTCATTAATTTTGATGCTGTCAGTTACAACTGGTGTCGAATTTTCGTTCAACGATGTGATGTACAAGCAAGTGGATGGTGTGGCGATGGGATCTCCTCTTGGTCCCGTCCTCGCCAATATATTCGTTGGTTATTGTGAGTGCAAGATTGATGAGTCGATTGAGAGTTGATTGGCCCGCGTTCTACGTGCGTTTTGTTGACGATTCGTTCACGCATTTTGACAGTG